GCTGGTTGGAGGGCTGGGGAAACGGGATCACAGCACAATAAGACCCTTTGAGGGTGTCTGTCTCCTCCTCCACTCCTTATGTACACTCATGTGTACTCACTCTCATGAAAGAAATAAACTTTTAAAAAATATTTTTTTACAAATAAAATTAAACTTTAATTCTATTTTTCTATAAACCTTTTGATATCCCCTCCTACACGCTATATGTAGCCTTTTCAGATTGACTTCTTTCACTTGGCAATGTACATTTAAGTTTCTTCCATATGTTTTCAGCTTAATTCATTTCCATTTTATCACTGGATGAGATTATAGTATATGGATATACCTCAGGGTGTGTTTATCCATTCACGTATTAAAGAACTTCTTAGTTGCTTTCAAGTGTTTCCAATGATGAGTAAAGCTGCTATAAACATATATGTGCATATTTATGTATGGATATAAGTTTTTTCATTCATTTGGATAAGTAGCTAGGATTGCAGTTGTTGGATAGTATGGGAAGAACATGTTTGATTTTGTAGACAAGTGGCAAACCGTCTTCCAAAGTGGCTGTACCATTTTTCATTCCCACATTGAATGAGAGTTCTTATTAATCCACAACCTCTCCAACATTTGGTGTTGTCTGTGTTTTGGATTTTGGCCATTCTACCATTTACATAGTGATATCTCGTTTTAATTTGCAGTTTCCTAATGACATATGGTGCTGAGCATCTTTTTATATCTTTATTTGACATCCGTATATCTTTCCTGATGAGTTTGTCTGTTCAGATCTCTTGCCCGTTTTTTGTAATTGGATTGTTTCTTTATCATTGAGTTTTAAGAGTTCTTTGTATGTTTTGAATACAGGTCCTTTATCAGATATGTGTATGGCAAATATTTTTTTCCTCTTTGTCTTTTCATCCTAATTTCCTAGCACTTTTCATGTTTTCTCATTTAACTCCCAACATTTCAAGAACTCTAAAACAGGTCTTTAAAAAGTTTATGGGAAATGCATATTATGAAAGAACTATGTATGCAGTATTTTTTGTACCAAAATTAATTTGTACTCTAATTCCAACTTTCCACAGACATTTTGCAGTTCCTTCATACGTAGTATTGGCTCCATTTGCTAAGGAAACCAATGCTAAGGAGATCAATTGACTTGCTAACTGACAGAACTAAGATTTAAACCCAGGTCTAACCCATATCTCCACACCTACCATTGCATATTCAAAGTGTATCCTACTCACCATAGACCAGACCATGTGAGAATGAATTTTGGTTATTTCCTAATAAAATACTCTTCCACAATCCCAGAAAAAAGAGACTGGATAACCCTTAGAACTCAGCATGGTTACTTGTATCTTGGTGCTGAAGCAGAAGTGGAGAGCCCTCTTCAATCTAATCACAGTACCCCTCACACCCTGTGAGACTCTCTGCAGCTTCCCCAATGTGCTTGCTCTTTCAAGACCTCTGACTTTGCTCTTGTTGTTCTCTCTAGTGGAAAGAATGTTCCTCATTGTCCACTGATCAAGTCTTACTTTTTATTTGTTTGTTTATTCATTTATCCATTTAGAGACAGTCCATCCCCAGCCTCAGCCTGCCAGGATCACGGGCATACATATGTGTGCCTGACCTGTATAGGGAGACCTCAGACTGCAAACCCAAGACCTTCCTATTTGGCCTCCACATCACAGGGGATTGCATTACCACTGTGCCACTAGAATTGGCCAGTTTCAGTTTCTCATTCATGTGTCATTACCCAAAGCTCTCTAGTCCCCACTTTCTAGACGTTGAAGTTCCACTTCTGCATATAGTCTGTTTCCCTGCCTAGTTTGACGGACTCTATGTATGAATATCACACTTGATAACACTTTTTTAGTTCCTTCATCTAGTCTGGCACATACAAAGGGACTTGAAAAAGGTCATGGGAAAAAAAAGAATTAAAGCATGAATTTAGTTTTGAAGACTCCTTGTAGTAGGGTCTCAGTAAATGTGGTATGTTTTGTTTTGTATTAGAGAGAGACAGTGTGTGGGAAGGAGAGAGGGAAATGTATTTTTGACAGAGTCTTGTCGTGCCACAATCCTCCGGCCCCAGTCAGGACCATAGGTGCACACCACAATTCGCTCCCTGTTTTAGATTGGGCCGAAACTGAACCCAAGTGTCCCCCGTGACCTCGGCCACCGAGCAACAGTGCTCTCCCACTTATGCCAGTGTGGCTGAGGCATCAGTAAATATGTCCTTAATAAATGACTGAAGAAGAGATATTGACTAACACCGTCATCTGGTGGTTAGAGGCACCTTTCATCTGTGAGAATATTTAACTAGAAGAAATAAGTTATTTCTTTTGTTTTGTTTTTAATCATTTTGGCTTTCACATTTTTAAATTTCATTTTAAAACCGAGTCTCTGTTACTAGTGCTGTGGACCCCAAGGGTAGGCATAACTCAATAAATAAAGGAGATTTTTTAAAATCAATAAGTCATTAGTGAGACCACTGAGTGAAAATACAATATGCATTTTCACTTTTTGAAGGTTTAAAGTTTCTGTAAATGCTGGTATCAAGGCTTGATGCTTTGTGCTTAGGGTAACGCACCAAGTCTGGACTGAATCTCAGCTTTCCAGATTGGGGGAGCGGATCTCAGAAATCCTGCTCTCTAGGACTGGAGTATTGCAGACTCTACCAGTAGTACCTGTGGGATGTGTGAGGTCACAAGCTATGCATTGTGTGGACAGAGCAGGGATTCATGGTCAGATGGACCTGAGATAGAAATCCAATCTTGGCCACTTATACAGACTGCATTACTTGGGAAACATAAGCCCATTTCTTCATCTGTGACATGGGAAGAATCATAATAGCACATGATTCTGGTATTATTATAATAACCTACAGAGCTATTTTAAAGAATAAATTATTGAGAAGAGAACATATGTAATGACTCTGGTACCTACAAGGAACTCAATAAAGATAACTTCAAATACCTCTCCTGTCTCAAACCCGACTCCCTACTCTCCCAAGGGTATTACTTAGACCTCCACTACTCATTCTATAGTTGCTTCCTCTGCAACCCTTTCCATCATGTGTAAGAAAAGTAGCTTCCAGTATATCTCAGTGTCTAGCATGGTGCCTGCCTCATGAGAAAAACTCAATAAATAATTGCGACTTATTAATTAGTAGATATGAGCTGGTGTCCTGTACCAGTCCAGGGCCTATTTGTTTGTAAATGGACCCATTCTAGTCTACTTTGTGTCACAAGGAACTGACCCGGCAGGTCACATTTCTCCGGCTTTTGTCTTGGCTTCTGGTTGAGTTTAACCAATAGCATGGACTGGTGGGAGATGGAGAAGGAGAAACAGAAAGGTCAAGGTATATCTGACCCTCTGTTTCAACCACAAGTACCTTCTTTAGCAGCAAAGGAAGCTCCTCCTCCTCGCCAACTCCCACAGAGAGGCACACTGTTACTCTTGTGTTTTCCAAGTAGCTCCAGCTCCTGAGCTCTGGGAATTCCATTTCCTTTCTATATCCCTTCAGTCCTAGAGGAGAGAATGCTTGCTTGTTGCTATTTATCTGAGTTATTTCACTCTCCTCTATCTGGCTTCTCAACTCTCCCATCACCCAGGAAACCACTTATCTATAGTTCATTTCCTTTGCTATGTACACTTGAAGTGGTTCCAAATAGTCTTAGACCCTTCTTTAGAAGCAGGAATATCTAAACTTGGAGTTAAGAGAACCTAGTTCTTCTGTTCTCTACCATCCCCTGGCCAGGTGACCAGCAGTCTTCATGAGCCTCTGTTTCCTCATTTATAATAAGAGCTACCAGAACCCATCCTGTTTCTCTCATAGGATCATTGTGAGAACCCAATGAGATCATCCCTTTATACATTCGCTAAGCACTCATTGAGTACCTGCCATGTGCCAGGCCTTTGGAGTATGCAGAAACAGGGAACAAGACAGAAGTCTCTGTTCTCAGGGGGGTTCAGTCTGTGGCAATAGATATACTTAGTAAACTGTAGAGTGTAAGTCTGTGTAAGTCTAACAGGATAAGCTGACCTGACCTCCTTGACCTCCAGAAACCTATGAGGATACCCAGAGCTCTCTGCCTCTCTTGCTGAGAACCCCACCTACAACTAGAGTAAGGTGGACTGGTCAGTAGACACAGCAACCACACACTGTGTGCACATGGTCCAAAAAGCAAACTAAGCCCCCCCTTCTGTTTGTTTTCCATTTGTGTGTATCTATTAATGTATCAGAGCTCATACTGATTAATTGTGAAGAATTATCCTCTTCTGCCATATTAGTTATTTTCATGGTTTTTATTTTGTGTTATCTGAAATTAGTGCGAAAATCTTGTTTATGCCTAGATTGTGTTTGAAAAGATATCCTTTATAACACAATTTTTAGTTATCGATGACCTCTTTTATAATGCTTCAGTCAGCCTCACTTTAACGAGAGTATTGATAACAATATGTGACTAACAATCTATTTTCAGCAATGCACCAAGAGACAAAAGAAAAGTAATTTGTGCACATGTGGAAAATAGATAAATTTACCATCTCTAAATAAGCATGAAAATGGAGAATATTAGCTCAGATTCAACACTCTCGAATTCCAAATATTTCCATATGGTCTCTCTTGCATTGTTCTGTCAAGATGTTACCTCCATCTCCATTTTACTGATGAAATCCCTAGACTTAAGGAAGTAGATAACTCACCAAGTTAGGTAATAAAAACAAAATTATATGGTAAGGTGGGAAAAAGAGAGAAAACACTTATCCCTGAGCCTTGACTTCTTTATCTGTAAATAGGAATAATACCTGAGAGTGGTATTATTAGTGGTAATATACCTGAGAGTGGAACTGAGAGTGAAATGAAAGAATAGCCCTGGTGTGCTGACTATAAAAGTCAGACTTTATCCTGTATACAAAAGAGAACTATTAAAAGCTTTTGATCAAGGAGGAAGGCTTGTCAGCTCCTCACCCAAAACCTTTTATCAACCATCCCTTTTTCTGATCTCTTTCTGTAGATGACCACTCCCGGGTGAGGCTGCTGGTGCTGGATGGTGACCCACATTCTGACTACATCAACGCCAACTACATTGATGTGAGTATCTTGATGGATGTGAGCAACCAGGTTCTTAGGTTGGCTGTGTATGCTCGAGATCTATGGTTATCCCTCAGCTTCTGCCCTAGAAGGTGGCCCCCTTCCAGAACATGTGCGGAGCAATCTGATTTGTGTAACTAGCATAAGCCAAGGTGATTATCCATCTAAAGCTACATCCTCTTTCAGGGAAGCTGAAATAGTCTACAGAGCCTCAGGACAACTGCTAGTCTTATTCATTCACTCTGTTTACTCATTTGTGTATGTGTCTGTTTATCTAGTCATTCATTCATTTGAAGGTACGACTATTAATGCAACAAATATTTAAAAGTGCCCACAGTATGCTAGATGCTATGGGAACCATATAGCTAAAACTGCCATGGTCTATACCCTCTAAAATCTTAGAAAAGAGGTAAGTCGTGCACATCAATAATTCCAGGGCAAACTAGAAAGTGCTAAGTGTCATAAGTTCAGATAAAATGCTACAGGGATTCAGAGATGGGAAAAATATCACTTCTTCCATCAGGAATGCAAAATGTGATGTGAACCAAAGCCTCAAGCACAGGTAGAATTTAAAATCAAAGACGGGAAGATGGGTCCCTGGTTAGAGAGAACAGCACAAGCCAAGATGCAGCAGCTGCAGCAGATCAGATCTGTTGGCGAGGAACAGGTACTATATAATGGGAATAATGGAAAATAAGGTTGGCACTAGATCATTGGTGGTTTAGATGATCAGAGTTAGGAAGTCAGACTTTATCCTGTATACAAGAGAGAATTATTAAAAGCTTTTGATCAAGGAGGTCCCCAGTTCAGAACTGAGCTGTTGGAAGAGTTATCTGCGCCTAAGAATAAGACAGATCAGAGGAAGGAAACGTTGGAATTAAGACAAAAAAATCAGAAAAGAGGGTGTTACAATATTCCAGAAACTATTGAAGAGGGCATTGAACTCAAACATATGCTAAGAAGGTGCACATAGAAGTTAGAGTCTACAAAGCAAGAATGTAATCACTAAGGCCTGATGGACATCGCACAGTGACTGACCCAACCCAGGCTTCTGAGAACTTCAGGTTGAATCCCAACGGCCTTGAAAAGTGACTCAGAGATACACATAGGTTCCTTGAACTCTCAAATGTATTTAGAGACAAGCCACAAAATTCAGGGACATGTTTTGCAAATTCCCCTATAATCTAGACTGAGCCTAACAATTCATTAATTCAACAAATATTGATTGAGTCTTTTGTAGGTCCTTTGCCTGTTTATCCTCAGATGTAGTCCTTGTACTTCCCCTACTCTGCTTTGCACTGCAGAAGTGATTATGTGTGTATGTGTGTGTAGTAGGCAAAAGGGAAGGGGAGATAATTCCTTCAATAAGAGGCACTGATGGGAGAGCAGAGGATGATAGGAAAGGGGGAATCAATGTACTGTCATCTCTCCTTTCCTTGGGTGGCAGCTTCATGGGTAGTTGTACCTATCCATGACTCCAGCTTCCATCAATCAGGCCTATCAGATTTCCAGCTTTTGCCAAGCAGCCCAGCTCCTCGACTTCAGAAACATCTCTGTCTCCTATTGTTCCACCAGTTCTAAGGATGATCACAACCTCCTGCTATGACTAATCTCCAAGTTGCCCCATGGTTGCATGTATCATCTCAGCTCCTACATCACCTATATGACCTGCTTCTCATAATGAATTCCCTCTGAAACACCTGGAGTAGTTTCTGTTCCCCCAACTAGACCCTGACCAGCAAGTGTCCTACTATATGGTCACAAAGTGAGGCTGAATCCTTAGTGGAGGTGAAGATGGATATAGCTTCTACCACCATGGCCCCTCTAGGAAGTTGGCAAGGAGATGGCCAGTTCTGAACAGTTTTGTCTCTAGCTCAGAGCAACATATGCTGAGCATTCCCATCACCCTTTCAGCCATTTTGTCATGCATTTAATATTCATTTCACAAACACTGAACAGACCTTCCTCTATGTACTAGAAATACCGACATTTAAAATGACCTCTAATCTAGGGAACCAGCAGTTGGCGTAATGGCTATGTCGCTGGACTCCCACGTAGTCGACCGCAGTTTGCATCCCGGACCTGGTGGCTTAAAACTCACGCCGGACACGTGTGCGTGCGTGCCCAAGATTCCCAAGAGGAGAATGGAGGAGAAGGGATTGCGGCGTGACCATCCCCTCTGGGGGGTGACTTCTCACTTTCTGTCTCTCTGTCTCTCTCTATCTGTCTGGTGAGCGCACGCGCCCTATAGCGAAAACCTCTCAAAAAAATAAAAAAATAAAATGACCTTTAATCTAAAAGGAACTCTAGCCTGGTGAGGAAGTTCTATAAGAAACGAGACCCCCCAAAGAGCAGGGACTATGGAATCATAAAGAAAAATAAAAGCCTCAAAATAGGGTAGGAGTGGCCAGTGAAGATGTCCTGGAGGATGTGACTCTTCAGTACTGCCTCAGAAGATGACTGAAAGCTGGCCAAGCAAGAATTGTCTAGAGTCACATAAGAACTGTTGATTATCTCTCATGTACCTTAACTAGTATCACCATCTCACAAGTGTCATTACTAGTCATATCCAGATGAGTAAACTGATACTCTTGAGGTTATACAGGTTATCTAGGATTTGACTGCAGGAGGTGGGAGAGGGGGGAATAGGAGCTGGAATCAGAAGTGCCTTTCCCACTGTACCCTGCTGCCTTTAATGATATCAGTAAGCAATGACAACAGCAATTGGTACTTAATGAGTCGCTCTTGGGCCCTCTAAAGTTGGTTCAAATGAGTCAGCTTATCAAGATTTTTTAAAACCCTTCAAGGTGGATGTTGGCACTCCTGTTTTCCAAGTGAGGGAGCTGAGGTGTAGAGAGCTTGCAAAGCTTGTCAAGGCCTTATGGCTGGTAGGCAGCAGAACCAGGATAGGAATCAGACCTGCATGACACCCAATATTGTGCTTTCTCCTATCCCTCTCTACTTACTCCTGGACCTACCCCATAGCTGGCACACAGTAGGAACTTGCTCAACACATGTCAATTCAAGTTGAATTGATTCCTTTCAATTCTCCTTGACCTTACCTGTGGGTAGGTGGATGTGACCCTCAGGGCAATAGCTCGTGCTGTACCTTGCATACCTCAGCTGCTGAATCTAGCATTTGTCATCTAAATAGAAAGCCCCAGAAAAAGTCACTTTCCTAGAAAGGCACTCAGTCCAAAGCAGAGTGGGTGTCTAACTACATTCAAAGCCAAGAAACATGGTGGTATAGACATGAAATGTTTTTTTATAGACAATACATGAAATTGTTTTAAATGCAAGTGAATCTCTATAACACTAATAACTAATAATGCCTCCCATTTTTATCATGTTTTATTATTATAAGGCAATTTTTGATTCTTTAAAGATTAGAAACCAAGGGTCAGGTTTAGAGTACTTCCAAAGGTCACACAGCTAGACTCCAATCCTATGTCCACCTGGGACATGACCTCCTCCCTATCTCTATAAAAGTAAATTGTGCAGAGAGGCCAGACAGCCTTAGCTACATGCTTTCTTCATATAGGATGTTGAACTCTAGGCTGTATCTGAGGGGTTAGAATCAAGGGCTAATAAGACACAAGTCATGAGTTCAGTCCTGAGTGGGCCTGTTGAATCCAGGACTTTCAGATTACTAGCTCTGTGATCTTGGTTAAATTACTTACCAGTCTCACGCCTGTAAAATGGAGTAATAATGCTACCCCATGAATCTGTGATAACTATAATAAAGTGTCAGGGTCCTAAGTGAAACAGAGGCTTCCTCAAAGGGAATAATAACCAAAAATAGTTCAGTAAGGGTGTGAATACGATTAGCGGAAACCAACAGGGTGGGATGTAGTATATCAGGGCTAGAGACTAAAGCGAGCTCTTACCAGTCCTAGGCCTAACAAGGAGAGAGAGAAGCTGTAGAAGAGGTCTGCCTGACGGGAGTGGGCCCATGATGGACTCTTGATGACTTGGCAGAGAGGAACCTAGAAAAGAACATAGGCCCCCCAAATCCTCCTGACCTCTGACTCTTGTTCTTTCTTCTCTTGTTGACCAAACCCAACCCAAGTAGAAGCAACACAGCTTGGGAGCCTTTGATGTAATCCATACAGATTATTCCCCATGACATAGGCAGAGCATGGAGGAAAAGTGAGGGAAAATGAAGGAACAAAGAGAAGAAGCAACCACCAGCATCTCCTTGAAGTGTTACCACTCTTGGGAAGAGAGTGGAGAAATCACTTCATGAACTTACTGTACACTCCCGCAAACCTAAGATTCTTAGCATCTATATGGGAATTCCTGGCCACATGACATCTGGGACAGCTTTGTGGGTCCTTATCCCTTTGCTCTGGTCTCCACCCTAGCCAGAATCCTACCTGGCTCTCCAAAGAGCTAACTTTCCATGCTAGAATAATTTCTCCACAATCAGATCTTGAAAATTCATTAAAATGAATTCCTTTTTTAAAAAATTGACTCCATTTGGATAATGAGCTGGAGGGGGCAACCCTGTCTGTGCCTTGAGAGGCCATGGTCTGCTACCATCTGAACCATCCCTCAGGCAGGTTTGTTTGCACACCCGAAAATGTATTGGCCACTTGAATCTGTTATAAATTACCAGCCTGGAAATAAATATCGTATCTGGGTCCCCAGTAAGTAACAGATGCATGAGTGCAGAGTGAGATAAATGCGTTTTGGATGGAAACCTCTTTCCCATTGCTCACAGACAGATGGAGGCAGGCCCAGTGCTGGTTTACAGTCAATCTGCATGCTGTGTAGGTGGGACTTAAATGAACTCAAAGTTCTTTTAAGGTTAGGAAGTTTTCTGTACTAGCTCTTGGCAAGTCCCCAGAGGATCCCTAATTGAGCAATACATTTCCTTTTATCTCCTTTGCTGAGGAGTCTCATGGTTAGAATGTTTTCTCTTTGGGAACTGTGTGGGATTTTGGAGGCCAGGTAGGGTCTTGATACTGAGATGCAGCATGGGGACATGAGTGCATGCATTTATTCAATACATATTTATCAACATTGATGGCCCCATCAGATTTTTCATGTGCTGAGGGCACAGCCCCATACAGCCAGATACAGCCCTGCCCTGGAGATGCTCCCATTCTACTGGGAGAGACAGAGAGTAATCATAAGTAAAGAATAAGTAAAGAATAGTATGCTCTTTGGTGATAAGTGCCCTGAAAAAAAGCAAGACGGCAAAAGAGGAGAGAAGCTGACAGGGTCCCAGAAGGGCTTTCTGCCGAAGTGATTGACAACTGAGCAGAAGTCCGAGTGGAGTCAAGGAGTGAACCAATCTATTATCTGGGGACAGACATACAGACACAGCCAATGGTCACAGCTATTGCCTATGGATAGAAATGTGATTATTGTTTCTGTAGAAGTCAAATAAGCAGTGAACAATTGGTAGAGTGGTAAGAAAACTGAGAATATTGCTGAAGGGTTAAAATGGGAATGACAGGGAAATTGAAATGTACAAACAAGACTTAATTGAAAAGTTAATTCAACCACCACATCCTCATAGAACAGTTCCCTGGCCTCCTTGGCTGAGTTGAATTCCATGAGTGTCCCACTAAGCCCCTCCCCTTGGTAGACCTGATCCTGTGTGTCATGTCAATGTCTGTAAGCCTCTCAGAAGTGGAGCTTTTATCCATCTGATCCACTTTTGTATTTCCAGTGCTTTACACTTAACAATAAGTGTTCAATTAATATCCGACAATGGATAGTGAATGAATGATGAACAAAGGAATGCACAAAGTAGTGAACCCAAGCCATTGAACCCCACAACTAAAAGGATTTCTTGCTCATAATTTCATCCTGTTGAATTTCAAGCATGTTCTAAATCTTTTAAGTCACCCTTTCCTCCAGGATCTTTTGTCTCCCAGCTCATGCATTAGAGGATGGCCCAACTTAACCACAAAAACATATACATGCATATATTCCACCTATCAGCCTTTGCTGGAAACTGCAATGAGTTCATTCCTATGGCTCAGGAGGATAAAGGTACAAAAATGCTTATTGCAGAACATTTAATTGTGTTCATTGGGCATATACAAAGCCCTGCTGGATCACTTCTAGAAGAGGTCGCATTTGAAGGATAGGTAATGAAGCTAGAAATGCAGGTGGAGACAGGTGGTCAGTCCCAAGTCAAAGTATTTGGACATTACCCTACAAGCAATGGGGAGTCGTTGCAAGCATATATGCATGAAAACAGCACACTCAGATATGCAGTGGGAAGCTTACTGGAACAAGAAGCAGATGGGCTACAGGAACAAGGCTGGAAGCACAAGGCCAGGAAGAGGTTGATGCTATGATCCAGACCTTGGAGGATGAGACTATGAGGGTGAGTGATAGTGTAGATACAGAAGAGAGTAAACTTGAGAACACATCTTTCCAGTATCTAGGAAACTTTTTTCTACTACCAGACCTAGTAGAGTCTAGTTCTTCTTGTCAGCCTGGGCAGCCTTGTATATCTTGACTGGAAGGAACAGATATATTCTTCTGACCTTCTGTACCTCAAAGAACTCAGTCATTATATTAATGAAAAGGAAGGCTTATTGTCCCAGAGCCCCCCTCATGGCCAGCACATATTTCTAATTATAGTAGGCACTTCATAAATGTTTGCCCAAGAAAAGGGACCCTCCATGTTGGTCAAACCCAGACAAAAGAGAGGGTCACTTCAACTTCTGCCCCAGTTAGAGAATAGTTGGGGTCATAGACCACTAGGATAATCCCACATTGGAATACAGCAGGATCTGTCAGAGGATCCTGAAGTGTACAGAGAAATCAGACACTGGTTTTTTAATAAACAAGTGGCCATATGGGCCTCCCTGGTCATACTTTTATGAGGACCTCTGCCCTAAAACTTTACTTCCAAGCCCAGACATGTTGACACAGAGAAGCAGTGGGACATCCTTCCCAGTTATTATTTACTTTCCTAATTGTTAGTAATACAAGGAGTCAGTGATAGAATTGTTTCCTTCTGTTTCCTTCTCTGGGTGCCTCACAGTATCTCATAATGTTCTGGGTATAATCACGGCCCAGGGAAGACTTTTTGGTGATTGATATCCCCCATAAACTGGCAAATGCCTTTTTACCCTCTCTTTGGATACCTGAGCGTAATTGATGCCCACCCAATTCTTGCTTCCAGTGCCCCTGGCCCCAAGTAAACCTGGTGGGTCACTTCACAAGCAACTATGATAATAGATAACACTTAGTGACTTACTAAGTGCTTTGCATACATTATATTATTTCACCTTTACCACTTCTCTAGGAAGTGGCTAATGTTATTCCCATTTTGTCTGTGAGAAAGTCAAGACTTGGAGAGGATGCTCATTAATAATATGTTATTTGCAAACTTTGACTGGAAACCCATCCCTGTGCTTTTCTCCTGTTTCCCAGGGATACCATCGACCTCGACACTACATTGCAACTCAAGGTAAGCATCCTCCCTCCATCTGGTGCCTTGGAAATACCTCAAGGATGCCAGGAAAAAAGGCATCCTGAGAAGTATCTGCAAGGCTTGTTGCCTTCTTCTCCTGTATCTCTTATTCCAACACTCCTTTTCACTAATAGTTCCTGGACCTTCACTGGTGGAGAGAAATGATCCACTGACAAAAAAAAAAAAAAAAAAAAAAAAAACCTCAGGGAGTTGGGCTGGAGAGCCTCCAGAAGGACTGAAATTCTTCATTTGTTTGTTTGGGAAGGAAGGAGGTGACATGTTTAGCTAGAGAAGTGAGGGACATGAGTGAAAGAGGTTGGAGCTCTTACTGGGAAATGGTCTGGTGGGAGGGCCTAAGCAGAGCAGATCAGAAATATTAGCCTGGACAGCTGCCATCAGTTTCTGCCAGACAGAGCAGGAGCTAATGGTCCCTTATCTCCTTGATGGGTACTTGCACCTAACAGCAATGGAGCCAGCTAGCCTAGAAGGCAATTTGGCAGTATGTTATCAGAGGGCTTAAAAATGATCATGTCTTCCAAACCCTCTGGGAAGAAATCCTGCAGATAATTATATATGTAGACCATGATGTATATAAAAGCATTCTTCACAGTGTTACCTATTAATAGAAAAAAAAACGTGGAAGAGTTTAAAATACCCAAAAATTGATAGACTTGTTAAATAAAGTATGATACTAATAGTTTCATATTATAGAAAATTATGCAGCTATGACAAATATCATGCTTATTTAGAATTTTTAAGGATTTTGGAAAATATATATACTATATATGATGCATTCTACAGTAAATACATATATATTAGGTCATCAGGAAAGTCATGACATATTTTCTTTGTTTTTCTTTGCAAAAATGTATCATGACTTTCCCAACAACCCAGTATATGAACACATGAACTAGTATCCAAAAAAATTTATCATACTCACGTATTACTTTATAATCTCCAGTTTTGAACTATTATAAATAAATTAATGATCCTGTGTTTGTGTGTGTGTGTGTGTGTGTGTGTGTGTGTGTGGAAATTGCCTTGGACCATCAGATCCTGTCTCTCACTCCTTTACATTTTCCTTCCTTTCTGGTCAGGCTCCAGATGAATGCCTCCAATATCTATCAACCTCAGAACCAGGCATCACCTGTTTGTGCTATCAGTATCTAGCTCCTGGCAGCTATCTGCCCTCCCAACCTCCACACCCAGTTTCCTTCCTATTCTCATTGAGGTTCTAGAGCCCTATATTTGAAAACTCTCTAAAACCACACCCCATAATATAGTTCAGATAAGGTGAGGGTGTGAGAAGGAGCTATTGGCATTTCTAGTAGATGCTACAGACCATTAGTGTTTGTGATGTGAATTTTCTTATTCATACTCTGACCTGGCACCATCAGGCCCACATGCTTCAAGCCCCACTCAATGTCCTAGTAAGAATCCCTTGGCCTTACTCTCAGTAACCTGTGTAGAGCCTTGACTCAGCAACTCCTTGCTGCTCCTTTGCACTTATAGTCTCTAACCCTATTGCCTTCTTTCTCGGCAGGTCCTATGCAAGAGACAGTAAAGGACTTCTGGAGAATGATCTGGCAGGAGAACTCTGCCAGCATCGTCATGGTCACAAACCTTGTGGAAGTGGGCAGGGTAAGCCTCTCCCACAGTTACCTGGACAGAGGATGTTGGAGGTGCACTCTTGAGTATCTCTCTGTTCCATGCATTGTGCTAAGTGCCTCCTAGTCAGTAGTTCACCCTACAGCAACCTACAAGGAAGGCTCCATAATTCCTATCTCACATTTGAGCAATGTCCTTCCTCTTCAATCCCCTCATCCCTTTTCCACCTTCATGCTTTGTAGATGACTTCATCTCATATTTCTTGAGGAAATAAAAGCAATCAGAAGTAAACTCCCTCATCACTACACTACAAAGTTATAATTCTACTTGCATCTACAACCAACTTCTTCTTCCCCTCTCTCATCAGGTTCCATCATAAAAAATGGCTGGTTTTGTTAACTTCAAGTAGTTGACTATCAGCCTTTTCTGATGGGTCAACCTAATATGATAGAAGCTGTGTCTCTGTCCTTTCAAAGCCAAACCTAGTGCCTTGAATAAAAAATTAAGCTCAACAATTTTTCTCATATCCCTTCTCCCCGCTTGAAAAATAAGTATCTTTTTCATTGCTAGATTATTCCCCTCAGCATACAAACATGCTCAGAATCTTCTATCCTAAAAGGATAAAACAAAAAAAGAAAAAATTATTCTTTTGTCCCCACTTTTCTGCCAAACTTTAAAGATCCATACAATGGCTCTAACTCTCTACTCCTGTTCTCTTCTACCCACTCCATCCCACCAACAGTGATATCGTTGATGCCATTCACATCCTTCATGTTGCCAAATACAACTGCCACTTCTCTCTTCTCATCTTTTTCAATCTCCCAGCAGCATCTGACCCTTTGACACCTGTTCTTCCTTCCCTGACCTCTAAATCTTGATATTCTTCAGGGATCAGGTTTGGTCTCCCTTTCCGTTCTATCTTGACTCTCTCCTGCGTCATCCTTAACTATTCCTAGAGCTTAGAAATAGGACTGCTATTCTCAGCTCATTTTTGCCTACTTGGTTAGCTGTGTTATGAGGATGGGTGGGTTGCTCAGCTGAAAGATAGGGTGCACGAACACGAGAACTGAAAAAGCCTCTCTTTGTATCATATGAACTAACGGAAGAGGTGGGCAGGTAAGTTTTCATTTAGGCAAGAAACAGATAATTCAAAAGGAAAAAGAGTACTGACCTCTATCACTATGGGAAAGGGAAAATATGGGATGTCATATTCCAGTAGAAGATGTAAAGGTCAAGATAGCTCAGGGCCTAATAGGAATTCAGGGTCAGGTAAGACTTTATACTCAAGATCACTCTTAATCTAGTCTATCCCCCAGTTTTACAGATGAGGAAAGAGATTCAAAGTGTAAAAGGAACTATCCTCAAGTCACCAAAACAGAACCCAGGCCAAATTATGACTTTCTTTTTAAACCAGAGGGCACATGCACTTGCCACAGACAGGTAGAGAAAAAGAAAGTGCCCCACAATGGGACGTGGTCATGCCACAGTCCTTTGTTCTCCATTTCTCCATTCCCTTCAGAATACTGAGCAGGCACACACACATGCCCAGCATGTTTTACAAGCCCCCAGAACCAGTATTTGAACCATAGTTAGCCATGTCTGATCCAGCTTTCTATGCACCTAACCACTGTGCTGTGGGACCAGCCCTCACCCTTGACTCTCATTCTTATGTGTGACTCAATGACTCAGGCCCAGCTACTGTGAGAAGGACAGCTTGAGATTTGAGAATGTAGCTTCAAATCCCAGCCTGTTTTACATTTCCCACACTGGAAACAGAATCCCTTGATGGATAGCCCATGAATCTAAATTGAATTTGAGGAGGAACATGGTCACTTAGTAGAACACCCCCCCCCCCCCCCCCCTTCTCTCTCTCTCTTTCTCTCTCTCTTCTTTTAATTTTCTATAGGGTATATTCACCAGAGGCAGAGAGAGAGAGAAACTGAGAAAGTAGCCCCTAGGGGAGACGAACACACTGCAGTCCCTTCTCCTCCTTTCTCCTATTGGGATTTGGGGCTTGCACACATGCATCTGATGTGTTTTTCAAGCTGCTAGGTCCAGGACTTGAACCATGGTCAGCCATGTGAGAGCTAGCACCTTAACCCTTATACTACCTGCTGGTCCCTTTTAGCAGAATCTCTTAATAGCCAAGCACTGTGCCAGACACTTACCGTGCTTTACCTCAATTTATCTCACCACAATTATATAAGGCCATGCTCTTCATCAGACAGCCAAAGTTTCTATCTGGGCTTCCTCCCTCACTAGCAGTTGACCTTGGGCAATTTGCTTGGCCTCCCTGGACTTCAGATTCCTCATCTGTAAAATGGGGATAATAAGATCTACCTCATAAGGTTGTGGTGACAGGCCATTAAAGTGATGCATGTAAAGTATTCATGGACAATGGCATAAGCAGTGCCAGATTAGTGAGTGGTCAGTAAATGTTAGCTATCATTATTAATAAGAAGCTGAGGGTCAGAGAGGTGTCAGCACTTTCTGGAACTACGTAGCTACTTACTGAGTGTTAGAACCAAGCAATGAATCTACCTGCCTCCAAACCGTGGTGCACTGTACCAGTGTTTCCCTAAGTGGGTTCCATGGGATGCTAGTCTGTGGGATGCTTAGTGAGAAGAGGGTTCCATGGTTAAATAGGTTTGGGAAATGCTGTGTCCTTATACCTCTTTGGGAGAGTTATAAAACATATTAGCATTAGCACACTAAAGAAGCTGACTAGTTCTATAGCAAAGTGGCCTGTTTTAACTTTGTTTAATCCAGCATTTCCCAAACTCATTTGACCGCAAAACCATTTTTTGTTTGTTTTTTGTTTCTTGTTTTTACCTAACACCTATTAGCACCCAGCGGGACACACTATGGGAAATGCCACGCTAGGCCGTGCGGCGTCCCCCGGAATGGTAATAAAGCTTTTGTTCTTTTAAGGGGAAAATCGTAATCTCTCTTTCTTCCGCGGAGTGTGACTTAGAGTCGAGTGTGGGAATAACTTATTTGTAGCATCTGTACCCCTTGCCAGGGGCAGAAAGGAGTTGCAGTCTTCCCTTGAGCCCAGCACCTTCTAGCCTTTTCCCAGCTAAGAGCCTTTCTCCTTCAAGCCCCCCAATTACTGCCTCTCAGTAATGCCCCTCTCCTGACCACATCTGCTTCCACCTCCTCCCTATTCCCTACCTTTTATTCTCATCTTCACTCAGCTGATAATACTCAGCTGCACGAGCCTGATATAGCACAAAGGGGACTCAGCCAAAAGTAGAGAGCTGGCCACATGACTATGGACAAATCACCAAGTCTCCAAACTTGAGTATTACTTTCATCCGTAAAATAGAGTAATAATACCTGCCTGTCTCACCTACTTCTAGTTGACCACTTAGTGTGATAATACATTTGAAAATTACAAGGAGCTTTGCAAAAGACGGTACCCCTATTACTTCTAGTGGCTCCAGTTTCTCTGGAAGTAAGCTTGGCCCTGTTCAGTTTGCTGATCCCCAGCCAGCTGAGAACCCTATGGACTGAAATGCCACCAAAGTTGCCCTTGGGTTTATTTGAATGGGAAAGCCAGATGAGGTGACTGCTACCCTCAGCTACCTGCTCACACACCCTTGTCTCTATCTTTTCTCTGTTTCTCAACTGACTACAGGTAAAGTGTGTGCGATACTGGCCAGATGACACAGAAGTCTACGGAGACATTAAAGTTACCCTGATTGAAACAGAGCCCCTGGCAGAATACGTCATACGCACCTTCACAGTGCAGAAGGTAAGCTTCCCAATGCCTGCAGGTCAGCCTGTCCACCAGACAAGCTGGTTTGTTTGTTTATGCAGAACACATGATGACCAAGGGTCTATGCTATGCCACACTCCACTCCTGGCACTAGGGACAAATAAGCAATTGAGTCAGACACCTCCTGGTACAATGGTTCCCACATCTAGTGGGAAGGAAAAACAGAATTCAACAAACAAATCAGTGTAATAATGACACATTGTAATCAAAGCCACAAAGGAACATGAAAAAGAGAGATGTAGAAATCCACAGGAGGGTGGGGCAGTGAGAGAGGGCTACTCAAAGGAGGCAGCATTGAGCAGAGAATAAAGGATGGAAAAGAACCAGCCCTGAGAAAAATAGAGGAAATACTATTCCAGGCAGAGGAGGAAAACATGCAGTTTGGAGGGAGATCTTGATATGTTCTAGGCCTGTGGCTCTCACCTGGGAGGTAGTCTGGGTCCCCTGGGAATGTTTATCAATGTCTGAAGATATTTTTGGTAGTCACAACTTGGGAGGGGGTAGGCTGTAACTGACAGCTAGTGGGTAGAGACCAGGGAGGCTGATAAATAGCTATAATAAACAGCACAGCCTTCACAACAGGAATTATTCAGCCCGAAATGTCAGTAGTATCAAGGTTAAGAAGTGCTGTTCTAGATATTGAAAGGAGGCCAGGGTTGCAGGAGCTTGATTAGAAAGACTATGTTTGCAAATAATAATGATTATTTCATAATTAAATTATCTTGTAATTATTGCTATTCAGTCATTACTGTTACAATGACAGCTAACATTTACTGAGCACTTACTAAGACAGATGCTTTTCTAAATGCTTTGTGTAGATTAACTCATTTAATCTTCCCAACAACCCTACAAAGTAGGTGTTATTATTATCCCCCATCTTACAGAGGAAGAAACTGAAAGAGTTTAAGTCAGTTGTCCAAAGTTGCCCAGCTACAACATGGTAGAACCAGGATTCAGACCTCAGCCCCTAAAGCCCATTGCCCCCTCCACTACACCATGGTTGCTAGTTTCTAAAAGCAGTGACTTTAATGGCCCATATGGACACAAGCCTGAGGATATGAAGGCACTGAGGACCTAAATGCTTTGATGATAGTGTCCCTGGGGTTTGGACAAGTCCTGTCAGCAGACTGAAGCACAGAATGTGCACAGTGCTATTCTTGCACACACAGTGTGGCCACGGACATACTCTGCTACTGGAAACTCTCCCTCCAGTCTTTGTCCTTCTAAAGACTCAGAATATTTTTTCATCTGAGTCTGTAGACACAGACAAAAAAGTCAGGAGAAGTGTGGGCTTCCTCCACTAAGAGAAAGGAAAAACAGAGAGACTTGACTGTTGTCTCAGATAGAGTTCCTTAGAAGCGAGCCTGGAAGAAAGATTCAGGTATATGTGGTGTAACAAGAGAGCACTCCCAAGAGACAGTCATAAGAGAAAGAGGAACCCAAGAGAGTAAAGGGGAAAGGGTAGAGCAAGGATGGAGTCTCTGGTCAAGTCTAGCATAGGCCTGATCCACAGGAGTCCTCCAGAGCATAAACCACACCACAGAAAAGTACTTCTTGAGTTAAGGAAGCTAGTTTTTCTGCTTCCACATCAGTCAGTCCACTGACCATGGACCTCAGTCAGCCCTTCTTAACTGAGGGCATGTCTCCAGAAAAAGGGACAATGTAAGGCATCAGCAGCCGCAATCCCTGCAGTTGACACCTGAATACGCAAGCATAGCAAGAAAATCTGGGCAGGTCACTGTCTTACCAGCATCATCTGTAGTTAGTGCCTGGCAACAAGGATGAGTGAGACCTAGACCCTGAGCAGGAATTCCTTGGGAAATTAGAGGGTTGTCATTTTGTCTAAACAATCACATGGGAAAATATCATCCATAGGGAAATGCCCTTAAATGGCCCCAAGGGCCTCTGAAGATGAACTTGGCTCTCCATGATAAACAGATACTACCTGGAATTATAGCTCAAAATCAGCTCCCAAGTTGAGGACCCAAAAATAGTAAACAGGAAGTATTGTCTGCCCTTAAAGAGAGCAGTCTTGCTGGAGAGGATCATGATAACTAGTTAGTCACAGGACTGGTGATGAAGGTTCATATGAGAACTTTGGGGCCAAGTTGGTTTGGAAGATAGCATGGGAAACATCCACGTATTCATGGAGCTGTTTCTCTTTTCTGACCTCAGCTCATTTATCTTAAGAAGTCTCTGTCTCTTGAATTGCCCTGACTTAGTACGAGTTTCTAGGAAGCAGAGCAAGCAGGGGTCTAGGTACACTGGGTCACAGGTTGAGAGAGGTACTTTGAGGAGAAGGAAGTGAGGGCAGCAGGACAGGGTAGAGAAAAGAGCTAAGCAAGGATCTACCCTCAACCTGAGTCCCATTCTGGAGCCCTGGAGCATAGATCGTACAGCACTTTATGTCCAATGCCGTGAGGCAAAGGGGCCTTTTTGCACCTCTTTTAAGAGTAACTAATCACTCTGGTTGATCCAGAACAGTCTTGATTTTAGCACTGAAAGCCCTATGTCCTGGGAAAGTCCTCCGTCTGGGGAAAACCAAGAAATTAACAAAGCCAGTTGGTCACAGAATCCTATTAGCTGTTGAAGGCCACTCCACCACCCACCCCACGTCTGCCTCCTGTCCAGCTGAGAGCAGTGTTTTGTAGGAGGGGTAACTAAGCCAGCTGCAGCCAACACTCAGAGTACCTGGGGATGGTTTCACTGGCTGGCGATGGGGATCTGAGTGAACACTAACCCCCCAACACACCCACCCAGATTCAATCTTCACCTAGTAGCCAACATGGTCCTCCAAAAATGCAAGTCTAATGATGCAATTCTCCTTCTGTGCAGCCATCTGTACAACTTGCCTACTGCTCCCCAGTGTCTTTGAAAGAATGTCCAAAGGTCTTAATGTGTGATCCAAAGCCTTCCTGGATCTAGCACCTGCCCATCCTCCCACACCCCAGTTCTGTTGTCCACTTCTATCCATCTGCCACTTCTAGAGTTGCCCTGGGTTGTCTAAGACTCTGCACACACCTCAAAATCCCTTCTTCCCTTCACTTGGGCAGTACTCAGGCACCAGCACATCATAATGATTAGGAGTGCTGTCTGTGGAGTAGCCAGCCAGGGTTTAAGTTATTACTTCACAAATTGCTAGTCTTACACCCATGGTCATATCACTGAATCTTGCTTAGCTTTAGTATCCAGAAAATAAAGATAACAATATGAGGATAAATATCAGGAATTCATCAGCTTATTCACGGCATGTGTTCTGGACCAATTAAAAACCTATATATCACCATTGTCTGTCTCTTAATGTTGTCGCACTGCACACTGTTAATCCTTTAAGACAAAGACCTTGCCTTAGCTTTGTATTCCCACTCCACTCCTAATCTAGCAACTAGTGCACCATAGATGCTCAATAAATATTTGTCAAAGATATTTGGATATATAGTCAACGGCTAATAAATATTGTTGAATGTATGAATAGTCAATAATTAATAAACATTAGCTATTATTTTCACTATCAATATGTTGCAAGATTCAGATCAAGCATCACTTCCTAGGACGCTGTCTTTGAATTTTCCTTTTCCCAGATTCACTGACACTTCCTCATGCTCTTTAGTAGGGTATCCACTTAGGAGCCTGCCTTCTCAATGAGGCCATGAACTGTTTCAGAGACAGGAGCTAGGGCTTATATCTCCACTTTCCTAGTGTGTAACTCAAGGCTGAGTATAAAAATATTTTTAATTGAATATTTTTTAATTTAACTGATTTTTTTAATCAAACTCTTGCAATCTAACACTCTCTAAATATCTGCAGGAGATAGCTAAGTAGGAAAAAAGTAGATAAGGAGACTTGTAGAAGCAAAGGCTCAGAGGTGTGACCTGGCTAAGGGCTAGCCAGCAGACTACTGTTTGGCCTGGAGTATGTCTAGGTGAGGTGTGGTGAAAGGAGAGGGGAGCCAGTCAGAGCTCTTGATCCCGCTGCCCACATCAGTCAGAAAAGTTCTGCTTTTGTTTGCTTCCTATCTTATAATTATAAATAAGAATCTAAGTAATAAAGAAATCTACTAAATTGAGATTCATAAACCAGGCTGAAAAACGAGAGGATTCTACATCTGTCATGGAAAGGCCTTATATTCCTCAGGAATCAATTTGAACCTGATCTTGGTCATCTTTTATTTAAATCTGTTCTCCTGAATACACCTCCCATAAGACACTTGTTAAACAGGGTCCCCTGAACAAATGCTATGAGTGCTACATGGCCCTCTAGATGATTCAGAATGCCTGTAAACACAGTAAAGGCTCTGAGAAGTCCTGCAACAAAGCAGTCCACATTTCCCAAATGTAAGGATCACAGAATCTCTCTGTGAAGTTATACCTATTGACCCTGCTGGGGCCTTGTCCTCCCTGGATAGCAAGAAGGCAGGTTCCTCAATGCAACAGTTGCACCTCCCCCTGGCACTGGGCCAGGTATGTTAGGGTAGCAGCTGGAGGAACAGAGGTTCATTCTCTCTTCAGAAAGGCTACCATGAGATCCGGGAGCTTCGCCTCTTCCACTTCACCAGCTGGCCCGACCACGGTGTGCCCTGCTATGCCACTGGCCTCCTGGGTTTCGTCCGCCAGGTCAAGTTCCTCAACCCCCCAGAAGCAGGGCCTATAGTGGTCCACTGCAGGTGAGTCACAGGTCCCACTCTGCCCAAGTATGCCTCTACAGCTCTGCTATTTGGGGAGGGAGGTTCTGTTTTTCCCAGTGGCCTTTATTCTTTGCCTTCAAGACTCCCTTGCCTACGTCCTATTTCCAGTCCTCCCTTGATGGCACCCAGTCCCAAGGTCTAGCAACCACAAAAACTAATACCTGTAGCAGTCTGACGATTGTTGTTTGTTGCCCTGAAATAGTAAAGTTGCCAGGGACACAGTCCAGGCCCTGGCAGTTTCTGCTATAGCTGACATGTGCATTTTTCCTGCACCATTTTTTTACTTCTCATCCAACCTCGAAAGGTGGGCATTATTATTCCCACTTTATAGACAAGAAAACCGAAGTGCTGAGAAAGTAGACACAGGGATAAAGTGGCACCAGGAGACATTTAACCTGCTTTTTGTTCTGGGCACTGGCCCTCAGCCCCTCGACATACCAGTGGGATACTTTGGTAAAAGTGTGCTTCTCTTCATTTCTATTATTTGTAAAATCAGTTGCTGGCCTATAAGATCCTTAGTAGAGTAAATGGATAGTAGGAGTTTTCACCTTATTATGGAAAAGAGGATTTTCAGCTCTGACCTTGAAAACCACTTTGAGGGTGATTGTGGTATGACCATGCCCCATTGAGAGGTATTTTTTTCCTCTCTGTTGCTTTTTCTCTCTTGGACAAGGGCATGTGCCCTCTAGCTATTAAAAAAAACATGTACCACTATTCTCTGCCTCTTAATGTTGCCCTTCCACATGCCGTTAATCCTTCAAGACAGAAACCATGCTTTACTTAGCTTCATATTCCCACTCCACTCCTAAACCAGCATCTGATGCATTGTGGATGCTCAATAAATATTTGTTGAATATAAGTAGTGACTACTCACTGAGAAATTACCGTGAAGCCAGACACAGAACTAAACAACTTAGAGGCATTGTGCTTTTTAAATATACTTTATTATAATTTACATATATTGTGTTATTAAAAATATGAGTTGGCTATATTTATTATTATTGGCAATGTTTTATGGTTGAGTGTATTGGAACTCCTGAGAGTTTAAGTCATTTATTTAAGGTCACACAGCTAGAAAGTAATAGAAGCAGGATCTGATCCCAGGGGTCTCTTTCAAATAGCATGTGTTTATTTGCTACATAATGCTGAAATAAACACAGCTCAATCCTAACAAGGACCAGCAGGGAGACAGTTATTATATATGTGTAAGAAATGAGAACTCACAAATACCAGACAGCCCGATTGTTGATGATGGGGCCAAGATTCAAAACCAAGTCAGGCTGGTTCTTACCCCCTAAAACACGCTGAGAATGAGAAGGAAGAAAAGGTGGATGAGTGATCCTTCATCTTGTCTCCTAGACACTGAGGCCTAGCCTACTGAGCTCCATTTGGGGGATATGAATTGAGGTGGGAAGGAGGTGTTTTGACAAATATAAGTCAAACTTTATTCAATTCAGTCTAAGAAATTTCACCATGAATGAAAACTCTACTTTCCATGGGTTTACTTTTCAGATCACTGTGGGCAATGGTCCCCACTGGCCTGTGCTCCTTGTATTTACAATCAGCCCATGTTGCTTTTCCATCTTATTCCAAATCTCTTGCTATTTGTATTTCCTCTGGTTTTTGCACTGTTAAATAAACACACTTGTTTCAATGGGGGAAGCAAGACATGAAAATATAGCCAAAATGGCTTCCATGACAATCTGCCTGGCCTTCCCTTCTAAAACTGTAACACTTAAGGCAAATGTTATCTCTCGTTAAACACTGCCATTTTAGAACCCAGCACTAATCTGAGAAAGGCTTGGATATGATCCATGGAGTCTTGTTGAGTTCTCTTACTATTTTGTATTTAGTCTGAGAGTCTCCTAAAGAAGTTTCCAGTGATCAGAAATCAAATATGTATCAGGAAACTTAATACCTGACAAGGGCCTCAGGACTGTCAACTGCTCCAGTTTAGTGATGCACCTGGTTCATGAATCTGGGGAAATAGTTACAGGTGAAACCAAATTCAGAGCTTTGGATATGGGACTCTGGGACACACTCTCTGCCTCTGGGACAGTTCAGAGAACTATCCTTTCATTCAATTCTCTGTTCTCTCTTCTCTCCTTTCATGCTTCCATCTATCAACCTATTTGCTGATGAATCAAAAAGAAAGAGGGAGAAACAGAGGAAAAGAAAGAGGAAAGACAAGTTTATTATGCACATCTGGTTAGGTGTTTTACACTACATGGGGAGTGTATCTATTAGATGGGAAAACTGCATGTACATATGTTGTGGAAGCCTGCAGGGTCTTCCAAAAAAATTGCGGAAAATGCATATTATGAAAAAACAATGCATAGATTTCAAAAACTTTTGCATCAAAATTAATTTGTACTTTTAGTCCATTATTTCCACAAATTTTTTGAAGATCTCTCATATTATTAAGAAATGGGGTGTTCCTGCTTAATATATAACAAATGTCTGTACTCTGTGATGGAAACTAAGAGATTAGAAGGTATAAAAGCATGGAGGACAACTGTATGTAGTAGAGACTACTTAGGAAGAGATGGGTAAAAGGGGTGGGAGAGAGGGAACTAGAAAAAAACATTTAAAAGATGTAAAAATTAGAAAGTATCAGGTGATGATGTATATAGTAATATCTCTGGATTAATACAGACTCTATTCATGCTCAGAAAAACTATTTCGTATGCTCTACAGAAGCACATTGATTAAAGACTATATATATATATATATATATATATATATATATATATAGAGAGAGAGAGAGGATATAGAGAGAGAGAGAGAGAGAGAGAGAGAGAGAGTATATATGGAGAGACAGAGAGTATGAGCTCACATTGGAGCCAGACTGCCTGGGTAAAAGCTCCAGCTCTACCACTTTCCAGCTATGTGACCTCAAGTAAGATAAGCCCCTCTGTGCCTAATTTTTCTCACCTGTATAATGGGATGGGCCCTTCTTAACAATCTCATAGGGAAATTTACAGGTAACTTTGTGCACACTAAATGTCTGCTAAATGAATACAACAAAATAAGTCAGATGTAATAAAAGAATCACAAAAAGCAAGTATTACTCTCCCGTTTTAGAAAAGAGAGTGGAGGCTCTAAGTTTGATTACTTGCTCAGCATCTCCAAGGCATGTTGGGATTCAGGTAGCTCTGCCTGATTTCTACAGTGTACTGACTCTCAGCAGGCCCCCAGGGACTGGGCTGAATGAAAGGGACCTCCCCAGGACTGGTCCCCTTCCAAGGTCCCTACAAAAATCACACCTCTATTCCAGTGCGGGAGCCGGGAGAACCGGCTGCTTCATCGCTATTGACACCATGCTCGATATGGCTGAGAATGAAGGAGTGGTAGACATCTTCAACTGTGTACGTGAGCTCCGGGCCCAGAGGGTCAACCTGGTACAGACAGAGGTGAGTCTTGGGGAACTAGAAGGCCACATGCATGCAGCCCTGGCCAAGGAGAAGCATAGTAAGACCATCCAATAGAAAGAGACCTGCATATGGGATAAAAAGCAGGAGATACAAATGTGACTTGCCATGGTGGGACCATTGGACAAGCTACAATGCCCCAGCCAGCCCTAAGTGTCTACAGTACAGATACTTTCATCAATGACAAGTGGCACTAAGTTCTCTGTCCCTGAAGGCATCTAAGCAATGACTGAATGGGAACTTTCAGGGATTCTTTGAATAGTATTTTGGACTCAGATGAGAG